TCCAGGTACTCAGGCGCCGAGCAAAGCCCTTTCCTCTATCTTCCCACTTTATGCTGAAGCCCTCCCTGTTCCCGAGCGGAACGCATCCGCGGTTCAGGTCGTCTCCAAGAAGCTTCCTCGCTTTTTTCCCAGCCTCCCTCCTCGCCTGTGCACCTGCAGAGCTTTACTGCTCAAAGCATATTCCACCCCTCACCCCGCAATCTCGGAGCGGAAGTTCACTTTCCCTGGTTCCCCGCCAGCCGTGGAGGGCAGAGGGCACTGGCACCCACGCGGATCCCAACCCGCGTCCCCACGCTCCAGTTAACCCGTCCTTTCCGCCTCTCCCAGGGGCAGTGTCTCTGTGGCACAAGTTAAAGCACTGCAGGCGGAATTCGCCGCGCCCGGCGGAATAGGCAGCAGTTCCTACATGAAGATTCGGCGGCAACCATCCGCAGGATCCGAACCGAACGGCAGCCTGGAAGTACAGGTACCCGGGCGAGTGGGCGGTAACTCCCAGACCGGATGTGACGCACGGCGGGGCGGGGCCGCGCACGCCGGAAGCCCAGCAAGCGACGAAGATGGCGGAGAGCAGCGGTCGCATCGGCAAGAGCAGCGTTAGCGGCGCGGGGAAAGGGGCGGTGTCGGCAGAGCAGGTGAGGAGCGGAGAACGCGAAGGAGGGCAACCGAGCCGGGTCCGGAGTCGATGCGGGGAGAGGGGGGAGCCTGTGGCTGGTGCAGGCCTCACCCCGGTTCCACCTTTGCGAGGCCGCCTAGAGAGGGGAGGGTCCTTGGAGGAGCTGGCCGAGCCTCCCGGGAGAGAGCCGGAGGGTTGGTAGGTGAAGGCCACGCCTCCCTTGGGGTGTTGGGTGAGCCGGCAGGAGGCCCAGAGCCCGGAGATGCGGGGTGTGGGAGGATGCACAGTTGTGAGGGGAGATAGGTCGTCGCTTTCCCCACTTCTCCGCACCCTCAAACCGGATAGGCTGGGCCAGGCAGCTCGTAACGAATCCCGGGGGACTCGTCAACGGGCTGGTTGTGTGGTCTGTTACGTGACCCTGAAACCACGTTGACAATCGCCCTCACTCTGCAGAGCCACGTGACTCACATACTTGAACAGTGTAGTGTTCCATACTATTTTGGCTCGCAAGTCATTATTAGATTGAATTTCTTTATTGACCAGAAACCCTTTTCAACCGGAGTTTGCATTTCCCCCAGTGTCTAGCGTCGGGAGACGTTTGATAAATAACTCAGAAAGCCTTTTGTGGCGTGGGAGCCATGGTTTGCCAGTGGTGGGGCTAGTGTTGAATAGAGGTGGGAAGACATCTACGTGATAGAAAGGAAAACGTAACAGCTTTTTTTTTTTTTTAGATTTTTATTTATTTATTTGACAGACAGAGATCACAAGTAGGCAGAGAGGCAGGCAGAGAGAGAGGAGGAAGCAGGCTCCCCGCTGAGCCAAGAGCCCGATGCGGGGGCTCGATTCCAGGACGCGGAGATCATGACCTGAGCTGAAGGCAGAGGCTTTAACCAACTGAGCCACCCAGGTGCCCCCGTAACAGTTCTTTTAATTACAGGCTCACTTATCAGTTATTTGTTGAGCAGTTACTACAGGCAAAGCCATCGACATAAAAATTTTTCGAATTGCCACATGCAGTCAAGGAGCTCATAGTAAAATAAGACGTACAGAATGCTAACATGGGGCAGAGGGTGAGTGTCCTAACAGGTACAAAGTGCTGTGGGATTTTGTGGAGGAGTGAAGGGATAGTTTCTACCCTCCGGGGTGGGGAGTTTTGGTGGAAGGGAAGGGAGAAGGAACCTAATATTTTCTGAGGCTCTACCATGTGCTAGGCCCTCTGCTTGGTACAGGGAAACAGATACATGAGGTAGACCTTGTTTTCAGGATCGCTCACAGACACATTTGAGAAAAGAGAAACCAAACAGCAGAGATGTACAATATTCTGCACAGGCCCCTCTTTATGCCAGCTAGAAGAGGGACTGTCTAACTAAGCAGGAGGTTATGGGATTTGAGGAGTGGATGGGAAAGGGGAGCTGTGGTATAGTGGGGTGGCTAAGAGCGTAAGAAGTGCACTGAGGTTTGGCAGATCTGTGTTTGAATCAGATATCTACTATTTATTATGTGTAGATGACCTTCCATGAGTTACTTCTCTCACCTTGCCCTCCTGTAAAAATATAATGGTGCATACCTCATCACTGTTAGGATTATTAGACAAGAAATGCATGCAAAGTGTTTTTGCACGGTGACTGGAATAGAGTATGTTTGTTTTTCTGGAAGAGATAATCCTTCAATTCAATTCTAAAGGATGAGAGAAGTTAGTCAAGCAAAGAAGGAAGTAGAGAATTTCCTGGGTAGAGGGACTCATATACTTAAAATCACTGAGGCACGAACCTGCCTGGCATGTTTAGGGTGCAGGTAGACAGACTTAAAATATAGGATGGAATGCAGACCTTCAGTGCAAAGAAAAAGGGATAGGAATCTAGGATGTTTCTCAGATTTCTGTCTTTGATGGATGCTGGTGTCATAGGGAATGTAGGAAGATAGGAAATGTCGGGGTGGGGCGTGGGAAAATAAGTTTATTTTGGGGTTTTGAGTTTGGGTTTTTTTGTTTTTTATTTTTAAGATTTTATTTATTTAGGGGCACCTGGGTGGCTCAGTGGGTTAAGCCTCTGCCTTCGGCTCAGGTCATGATCTCAGGGTCCTGGGATCGAGCCCCGCATCGGGCTCTCTGCTCAGCAGGGACCCTGTTTCCCCCTCTCTCTCTGCCTGCCTTTCTCCCTACTTGTAATCTCTCTCTCTGTCAAATAAATAAAATAAAATAAAATAAAAAGATTTTATTTATTTATTTGACAGAGAGAGCACAAGTAGGCAGAGAGGCAGGCAGACAGAG